TTGATTGATATCTTTGATGAAAATTTATTGGTAATAGGGATACTATTTTTTTGTATCCTATTATTTCGTCATTTGAACTTTCTTGTACACAAAATTCTTGTACACTAGATTCTTCAATGATAGCCTTATCTTTGTTTTTTGTTCTTTCTAGGCTACTTGTAGAATTAGATCTAGTAAAAATAATTGATTTTTGTCTAGGTTCATTTAGATAAACAACACCTCTGTTTTGTAAAATTGTTAAATTTTCGAGATTTTTTGATTTGGAGTTTGTCCAAGAACTCATTTCTTAGGCCATGATAATTGTTTTACATTAACCTTTTTGGATTGAAATTTTCGAGTGTGAGCACTTGTTTAGCTCTATTTCAGGTACAGGTTTACTAAGACGAATAACTGTATTAACCACTCGATACATAAGTATGTAATTAATAGCAATGTTTTTCGTTCTTGCATGAAGGTCTTGCATACCATGATTTTTTATTTTCAATCCTAATGCTCGATTAAGATTAGGATCTTCCAATGCCAAGAAATAATTTGGTTTGATAGTGAACCAAATTGGTCCATTATATAAATTACTTTGAATTCCTCCGATTAAGGAATTTTTAATGTTATGCCATCAATTATCCATAACACATGTTAACAAATGAATTTCTTTTCTGCCTGAAAATAAAGGACATATACTAACTTGTACTAAATAAATGTAATTATATTTTTAATTATGATATTGTTTGATCTTATTCATATCAAACAACAATATATGTATAGATGTTGTTTCTGTGTTACTAACTAAAGTTCTTCTTTCAAAGATTTATACATTCAGTTTACTTTGAGGTTTGAAAATTGAGTTTTGTAAATTTCCTTAATTGGAAGGTATTTTCCAATTGTTTACAGAAAATTATGGTTCTTCAATTTCAAATGATTCAATTTCTCCTTTCTTAAAAAAGATCATTTCATTCTTATCATCTGAATCTATTATCACCATAAAAATAGTTCCAGTTAAAACTTCTTCTAAGTTTTGTTCATCGTTTTCATTAGAGCTATATTAAGATTCTGATTCATATTCTAACATGATTTCTTCTACTTCATCATCAGATTTTATTTCGTTTCCCCATACTAGTTCATATTTTTCTTCAAAAAATAATATTTGTTTAATATGTTTTCTTTGTTTGTTTGGACATTTGTTTTTAAAATGTCATTTTTCTCCACAAAGCCAATATCTGCATTCTTTAGGAGATTTTCCTTTTGCACATGGAGTCTTTTTATTATTTGTGAATTTTTTAGATTTCTTTCTAATATGTCTACCCTAGGGTTTTGGTTTGTCTTTATAAGGATTAAATTTTCTTTTTAGAAATTTTTTTCACCATTTTTTCACAAATTTTTTCTTTTTATCCAATGGTTTGTATATCTTATCACAACCATAGCTTCCTACCATACATTTTGCACAATATTTCTTTATAACTTCTCGTACATAAGCTATTCTTCTACCTAAAGAATCATAGATTTGATTCTTTTCTAGTAGCCTTTCAAACTCTTTTTGGGATAATTCATCCCGTGGTTTCAGAAGTTTGGCTATAAATTGTCTTTGCCTATGAATAGTATCTTTTAGGTCTAATTTATAGAACTCTTTTTTGTATTCACAAGCATAATTTTCAAAATAGCACATATGCACATTTGTATCTTAGTTAGATTTGTAAATGTTATTTTTTCTTAAATTTTCAATTGGCTAAGGGTTGTTCCACAAAATTCTCGTTTAAGGTTATCTACTATAAACATGATACTCTTTTCAGCAGTAGTTAAAGCTAACCACTGAGCTCTTATATTATTATTATTATCTGATAAAGTATTGCAAAATTTTACAGCTTGAGCTCTTAGAGTAGCTTCTACAAAAACATTTAGACCTCTTGCATCTATAGCTTGTCTAGCTACTACAAGTCTTATTGCTTGAGTTCAATTATCTATAACCTCTTCTATGTTGGTTACACAGTCGATATCAAGATATATTTCATATTTAGTAACAAACTCATTTTTTTTGCAGCTTTAGGAATAAAGTCATATTTTATATGAGTTTTTAATGGTCCTCTTTTTCCTAATTTTATTTCATTCTTAGAAGATTTTTCTTTATTATCTCCAAAGATATTCATATAATCTGGATTTTCCCAAAAACTAAAATTTTCAAATGCTTTGTTTATTTTGGATATTTCAACTTTTCTTTCAGATTGATAGTATTGTTCTTTTAACTTTGTTGGATCAAAGAATAGCTTATTGGTTTTTTTATGCACGTTTTCTTTTTCATAATTATCAATATATAGATTTAAATTGTGGGGACATAATTTTGATTGTCCACGTAGCTTAGATGGTTAGCTGAAGTGCCACAAGGGTGATTCTGATTGGCCGAGGTGTAGTCAAACCACATATGAATCTGAGATATTCAAATGAGGGACTAGAGTCCTAGATGATGACAGACTCTCTGTTGGGATAAGGTTAGACTCTTGAGAAAGTTAATCTTAATCCAAATAAGAGGAGTCCTGGATAAGTGATATCCTTGTAAAGGATAAAGTCTCGTGAAGTAAGACTTCTAGGGGAAGTTGGATACTGATCATTAAATAAAGAGAGCACCCCCGTGGGTCTAAGGTACGCTTTAATTGAGAGTTGTTTTACTTGATATCTTGTGAGATTGTTTGATTGACTTGATTGTCGAAGTGCCCCTAGGTTGGACAAGCCACTATGGTATTTCTTACCTTCTTGTGTACAAGTGTTAGCTTAATCTATTTTTTCACGTGCTCTCCAGCTAAGTTCCCTAGATCTCAGCAAGGAGATCTATTTGGTTGTGAGGTCAAAAATCAACACACGCATAAATATTTTTGAAGATCTTCTGAGGATATTCCTTCTGTAGGATTTTTTTGGTATGGATGTACCACTATCATCTAGATTGTTTTTCATATTTTGTAGTTTTTCCAGTTTGTTCAATAACCATAAAAGAAGTTCCAAATCTTTTAATAAAACTTTCTTTTTAATTTTTAAGAGAAATTTCTTTTATTTCCCTTAACTTTTTAGATATTTCAGTAATCACGATATTTCGATTTCTGCAAATATTTAAAGTTTATTTACTTACATCCATTAGACTATTTAATAGTCCTGTGGTTTCAATTTTACTATTTCCGTGATTAACATATATAAAGCTTTTTACATCTATTACATCTTGCATTAAATATTGAATTTTCATGTATAAAATTTTTTCTAAATTCAATTGCTGATGCACAGAGCTCTCGGCAGAGATTTTGAAAATTGATTCCAAACACTCAACCAAACATCATACTGAAACACACCTGTAGAATTACATTTTCAATTCACAACCAAACAGAGCCTAAATTTTTCAAAATTATATTGAACTTAAGAGTTTAACTTATAAAATTATACTAAAGTTTTATGGTCACTTTATAATTTATGAAACTAAAAGTAAGTGAAAAGATTAATAGAATTGATTGTTTGGTGAATGAAAAGATGAGGTGAATAATTAGGTGAAATGCCACTTAAGTAATGCTCTTTCTAGTAATGAAAGATTGGTGTTCTCAATCTTTATTCTTATGACATCGTCTTGACTAGATTTGTAGATAAAAACACAAACTTAATTGACAAATGTGAAACTATTGCACTTTTTTGCATACTTCCACAAGAGAGGTTATTCAAACTCCCAATCCACCACATATATGTCATTCGACTAGTCCTTACAATTTTATTTTATTTATTTTTCAAAACAATCTATAGCGATCCCGGGTTTTAGATTTGTAGATAAAAACACAAACTTAATTGACAAATGTGAAACTATTGCACTTTTTTGCATACTTCCACAAGAGAGGTTATTCAAACTCCCAATCCACCACATATATGTCATTCGACTAGTCCTTACAATTTTATTTTATTTATTTTTCAAAACAATCTCACAATCGTGAACCCATCTTAGATAGCAAATTTCGAACCTACCTTCAGAAGGTAAATTTGATATTTCAATTTCACCATTTAAACCAATGAATCAAACAAACAAAGGAGATTTAGCATTCTCACAATTTTAAAATTACTTATTGCCCAAATTAAGTGAAAATTCAAGTTTAAATTAAATATTCACTAGTCTTTTAGTGCAAAAACACCCTTTAAACGCATGATCACATACATAAAAAACGATTGTACAAATGAACACAATTCTTGATGATATTGTATAAAAAAATAGTGACTTTTGTGTGAAGAAATTATATAGTGAATTACCACCACAAGATTCTTTTAATTTAATTTAATTTTTTCTATTCTACCCACCCCTCAATTATATGTTCATAGACCAAACATTGTTTTCTTACTTCTTTTGGTAGTAACGTCGCAATTTTCTTCGAGTTAATCATGAAAAACAGTGTCTCCATGGGAATTTAAAAAAAAAATAAAAAAATCATTTATTCTTCTTAAATTTTTTAATAATAACTAAGAAATCAACAATCATCAAACTCATATATCAGTAGCCCGACAACAAATAAAAAGTCAACAATCATCAAGTTTAAGCGCAAACCCAACTACCAAGCTTAGTGGAGGAGAAACAAACACCATAAAAAATTCAAATTCCTCTCCATGATAATTGAATTTTAATATCAATAATGTTAGAGGGTGACAATTTTTGTGGTCACAATGGCTCAAAATTGTCAAAACGACGTCGTTTTGACATATTTTGCACCCAAAACAACGACGTCGTTTTGACAATTTTAAACTATTATGACCACAAAAATTATGGCCTCAAACACTTTCCTTTTAATATTACACAGCGAAATTATTTTCATTCGGAAGTGTATCTTTTTAACTTTCCGTAGCAATCTCATAATTTTGTTCCACAAAGTCTTCATGGATTCTTGTTTTTTGTTCCACAAAGTCTTCCCCCACCGAATATCACTTACCCAAAACAGGCCACAAAATTCTCCTCCCTCCTCTCCTCTCTCTCTCTCTCTCTCTCTAAACTCAATGAATGGCAACTACAAAAAGCTTATCTAATTTTCATTTTAATTAATTTTTGAGTCAACCATCGAAAAATGGATCTTCTCCCATCTCCTATTTAGGACGTACCACTCCACCTCACAGTTTCTTATCTAATCTATTGGGAGAAGAAGAAATCTGCATAGCCTTCTGTGGTAAGTAAAAATGCTTTTTGAAATTACTCATTACACTGTTAATACAAACACCCTTTGATTTTTGTAAATTTTCCTAACAACCTGTCTCTGTATTTTTTGGTGTTGTTTGAGTTTACAGATCAATGGGGGAAATCACTGGTAATCCAACTTACAGCTGCAGAAATTGCAGAATTCCAGTTGCGCTTGGCGATGACCTTCTTTCTAAATCATTTGTGGTAACTAAAAACAACCGAATCGGGCACTAAATATACATTGACGGATAAGATTATTTTGAAAAATTGTAAATATATCTTACTAGCAAAACTCTGTGAAATCTTATCCGATCATGTATATTGTGTGTCTGGTTATTTGATTAATTTCTATGTTCGTAACAAAACTGTTCTTATTTTATAATTTTAAGTTTTGTGTTTGTTTGAAGGGATAAGATGGAATTGCACTTTGAATTGTGTGCTTTTGTTACCATATTGTTAGGCTTTGTTTAGTTTGAATTAGTTTTTTGAATTTTTTTTAAAATAAAAATTAGATTGACATAATTAAAGATCATAACGATATTTTTAAATTTTGAAAAATTATGTTTTCAGTCAAAAAAATATAAAACTATATGAAAATAATTACAGTGTTTTTGATTTATTATTTTTTTTTCACTAAATTAGTTTTGAAATTTTTAAAAACTAAAGTCTTAAAATGAAACTAAACAAATTAATTTTTGCATATGGAGACTATCAAAACTCACCTCTTGGGACAGACAATAACCCCTTTCAGATTATTTTCCCTCAGTCAAATCTTGTTCCCTCTTTTATTCCACTCTAACCTAGCATCACATAACACATGCAACTTTTATCCAATAATTTCATAGCACTAAAAACATAAATATGTGGATTTTCTCTGATTTGGATTGAAGGATACTATTTGGGCCCATTACAGGTTTCGTTTCGATAATTTTAACCTTAATTTATTTTTAATTTTTTTGGTCGAACACTTGTGTTATTTTTTGAAAATAAGGAAGAGGGCATCCTTGATGTCCAGTTAAAATTCTCTTTTATCTGACATGCTTTTCTTTGAAATTGAATACTTTTACTAGGCAAAATCTGGACAAGCTTACATGTTCGCTCATGCCATGAATGTCGTATTGGGATACAAAGAAGACAGGGAACTTCTAAGTGGTGTTTTCACTGTTTGTGAAGTTCGTTGCAGCAAATGTGGAGAGGAATTGGGTTGGAAATACATAAGAGCTTATAACCCAAGACAAATGTACAAAGAAGGAAGGTTTATAATTGAGAAAGCCAAAATTCTCAAAGAATATTGTTAGTTAATAATTATCTACGCATGAAAGATAAGGGGATAATGTCTATCCTAAATTCCATACTTTCATTTACATATCCTAATGGCATGTTTGATTGGGTGGCATGTTTGATTGGGTGGATTAGAGTATGGGATTGATATTATTAATCCGTGAGCCCAATTATCTTATGTTTGTTTTAACATTTTGATTTAGGATTATTAATCCAATGGATAATTAATCCAACAAATTTGTAAGATTATTATACGTGTAAACTTTGTGTTGCATGCTAATTATATCCCTATAATATAATAATATATTGCCTACTTTGTTTTTGTTTCTCTCCTTGTCTAATAATAATGAAATTGTTTTGAGCATTTTCTGTTTGCCAAATTTTTTAAACAAATATTGGTGGATTGAGCGAGGGCCGGAAATTTGAGTTCTAAGGTGATATGTCTATGTTGAGACCTATTGATGGATTTACGCTAAAACTGAAATAAATTAATAAATTTTCAATTTTGACACTACGAACCAATTAGAAAAGAAATAAATGCATACTCAAGGTTTCAAGTTTCACTTTGCAATGAAGGTGATTAAGGGTAAGTTTGAAAATTGATTATTTTAATAAATTTTTAACTTTTTAAAAGATTAAAAAAAAGTAATAAGTTTAGAAAGTTGTTAAAAAAAATTAGGTAACGTTTGATTTAAAACTCAAATTATGATTTGGATAAAAAAAAAATTTAATTCTTTTTAAAACTTATAACCAGGCACACAATTTAAAACTTAATTTAAAAACTCTTTTCAAAATTTATAACTAATTTTTTTTTCAAATTTTTTTTTAAAACTCTTTTTTTTAATAAATTAAAAAATATTTTTTATTTTGTTCTTTAAATTTCTTTTTATTTTTTATATTTTCGAAAAAATATTTTTTATTTTTTTTGTTTTTTGAAATAATATTTTGTTATTTTTTTAAGTATTGGCCAAATAATTTGTTACGATTTAGATATATATAAACGATTCTAAATTTTTTATATTTAAAAAAAGCAAAAATTATATTTTTTTCAAAAAAAATTTGAAATTTTAAAAATTAAAATATTTTAAAAATTTTAATATTTTAGGAAATTAAAAAATAAAATCAAAAAAATAAAAATCATTTAAAATTAAAATTATATATTTAAAATAAAAAGTATATTCTGAAATATTAAAAAAATACAATGTACAAATGTAGTAAATACAACACACATTAAAATAAATAAATAGTTGCAATAAAAAATAGGGATTTTTAGTGATAAATCCCATTTAGAAGTGTTTTAATCCAAAAAGTCCATGAAGAAATTTATTAACTCATTTAGTCCCATGTATGTATAGTTTTATTCCACAAAGTCATTTTTCTTGATTTACACTTTTTTTTAGACTCTTATGCCCTTATATTTAAGTTTGATACCCTTACAAATATTTTTTGAACAGTTAGCAATTTTAAGATGTAAATATTCATATTTTAACATTCACATTGGTAAGAATGTAAAATTGGCCCGTGGACGATCTGAAGATCGCCCCGGGGCCGGGGCGGGCCCGGTCCGTTGACAATGTGAATATTCACATTGACATGTTAACATTCACATTGATAGAAGTGTAAAATTGGCCCGCGGCCCGAAACCCGCCCGTTGCCCGGGGCGGGGCGGGCTGTAAATATTCATATTTTAACATTCACATTCGTAAGAGTGTAAAATTGGCCCGTGCGCGGTCCGAAGATCGCCCCCGGGCCGGGGCGGGCCCGGTCCGTTGACAATGTAAATATTCACATTGACATGTTAACATTCACATTGATAGGAATATGAAATTGGCCCGCGGCCCGAAACCCGCCCGTTGCCCGGGGCGGGGCGGGCTGTAAATATTCATATTTTAACATTCACATTCGTAAGAGTGTAAAATTGGCCCGTGCGCGGTCCGAAGATCGCCCCCGGGCCGGGGCGGGCCCGGTCCGTTGACAATGTAAATATTCACATTGACATGTTAACATTCACATTGATAGGAATATGAAATTGGCCCGCGGCCCGAAACCCGCCCGTTGCCCGGGGCGGGGCGGGCTGTAAATATTCATATTTTAACATTCACATTCGTAAGAGTGTAAAATTGGCCCGTGCGCGGTCCGAAGATCGCCCCCGGGCCGGGGCGGGCCCGGTCCGTTGACAATGTAAATATTCACATTGACATGTTAACATTCACACCAAAAAGTCCATGAAGAAATTTATTAACTCATTTAGTCCCATGTATGTATAGTTTTATTCCACAAAGTCATTTTTCTTGATTTACACTTTTTTTTAGACTCTTATGCCCTTATATTTAATTTTGATACCCTTACAAATATTTTTTGAACAGTTAGCAATTTTAAGATGTAAATATTCATATTTTAACATTCACATTGGTAAGAATGTAAAATTGGCCCATGGCCCGTGGACGATCCGAAGATCGTCTCGGGGCCGGGGCGGGCCCGATCCGTTGACAATATGAATATTCACATTGACATGTTAACATTCACATTGATAGAAGTGTAAAATTGGCCCGCGATCCGAAACCCGCCTGTGGCCCGTGGGCTGCGCGAGGCGGGCCCAGCCCGTCCCGTTGACAATGTGAATATTCACATTAATATATTAACATTCACATTGATAGGAATGTAAAATTGACCCGCGGCCCGTAGGCGGCCTGAAACTCGCTCGCGGGCCCGGCCCGGCCCATTTATAATGTGAATATTCACATTGACATGTTAACATTCACATCGATAGGAATATGAAATTGGCCCGCGGCCCATAGGCGGCCCGAAACCCGCCCGTTGCCGGGGGCGGGGCGGGCTGTAAATATTCATATTTTAATATTCACATTGGTAAGAATGTAAAATTGGCCCGTGGCCCGTGGCCCGTGGGCGGTCCGAAGCTCGCCCCCGAGTCGGGGCAGGCCCGGTCCGTTAACAATGTGAATATTCACATTGACATGTTAGCATTCACATTGATAGAAGTGTAAAATTGGCCCGCGGCCCGTGGGCTGTCCGAAACCCGCCCGCGGCCCGTGGGCTGCCCGGGGCGGGCCTGACCCGACCCATTGACAATGTGAATATTCACATTAACATATTAACATTTACGTTGATAGAAGTGTAAAATTGACCCGCAGCCCGTAGGCGGCCCGAAACCTGCCCGCGAGCCCGACTCGGCCCGGTCCGTTTACAATGTGAATATTTACATTGACATGTTAACATTCACATTGATAGGAGTGTAAAATTGGCCCGCGGCCTATGGGCGGCCCGAAACCCGCCCGTGGGCCCGGCCCGGCCCGTTTACAATGTGAATATTTACATTGACATGTTAACATTCACATTGATAGGAGTATAAAATTGGCCTGCGGCCCGTGGGCGGCCCGAAGCCAGCCAGCTGCCCAGGGCGGGACAGGCTGTAAATATTCATATTTTAACATTCACATTGGTAAGAATGTAAAATTGGCCCGTGGCTCGTGGGCGGTTCGAAGCTCCCCCTTGGGCCGGGGCGAGCCCGGTTCGTTAACAATGTGAATATTCATATTGACATGTTAACATTCACATTGATAGAAGTGTAAAATTGGCCCGCGGCCTGTGGGCTGCCCGAAACCCACCCGCAGCCCGTAGGCTGCCCGGGGTGGGCCCGGCCCGGCCCGTTGACAATGTGAATATTCACATTAACATATTAACATTCACGTTGATAAGAGTGTAAAATTGACCCGCGGCCCATAGGCGGCCCGAAACCCACCCGCGGGCCCGGACCGTTTACAATGTGAATATTCACATTGACATGTTAACATTAATATTGATAGGAGTGTAAAATTGGCCCACGGCTCGGAGCGGGTTCGACCTGTAGACAATGTGAATATTCACATTGACATGTTAATATTCACATTGATAGGAGTGAAAAATTGGCCCGCGGCCCGGGGCAGACTCTTTTGGGCCCGGGCCTGAGCCCGGCCCGAGAACTTAGGCTAGGACCTAAGCCATCACTTTGAAGCTCGACCCGCATAAGACCCATTTAAGGCTCGGCCCGCCAGAGGCCCGGTGTCTTTTTTGTGGAAAATAATAAAATTTTGGGAGAAAAAATTAAAAAGAATTAAAAGAAATGGCGAGGCTCACCCAAGCCCGACCCAAGCCCAAGTCTAGGCCCAAGCCCCTTGGCTCGACCCACTGGGGCACCCAAAGCCTGAATACCTTTGTGCCAGGGCTAGGGCCTAGACCTAATTTTTTGGCCCGTGGGCCGGTCCGGCCCGGCCTGAATTTTGGCAAGCACCCACGAGGCTTTACATGGGTTGGCCCCGGCCCGGGCTAGGCCGAGCCCTTACGCATTGATGATATGAACATTCACATTGACGGTGTGAATATTTACATTGACAGTGTGAACATTCACATTGGCGATATGAACATTCACATTAGGGGTATTTTGGTAATTATGTCATCCATAGGACTTATTGAAACATAAGAAAATAATGTGGACTAAATAGAACATAAGTAGATGAAAAGGGTATTTTGATCTTCTTACCTCAAATAAGAACATTCACATTGACGGTGCGAACATTTACATTGACGGTGTGAACATTCAGATTGACGATGTGAACATTCACATTAGGGGTATTTTGGTAATTATGTCATCCATAGGATGTGAACATTCACATTAGGGTTATTTTGGTAATTATATCACCCATAGGACTTATTGAAACATAAGAAAATAATGTGGACTAAATGGAACATAAGTAGATGAAAAGGGTATTTTGGTCTTCTTATCTCAAATAGGAACATTCACATTGACGGTGTGAACATTTACATTGACGGTGTGAACATTCACATTAGGGGTATTTTGGTAATTATGTCACCCATAGGATGTGAACATTCACATTAGGGGTATTTTGGTAATTATGTCACCCATAGGACTTATTGAAACATAAGAAAATAATGTGGACTAAATGGAACGTAAATAGATGAAAAGTGTATTTTGGTCTTCTTCACATTGACGGTGTGAACATTCACATTAGGGGTATTTTGGTAATTATGTCACCCATAGGACTTATTAAAACATAAGAAAATAATGTGGACTAAATGAAACATAGGTGGATGAAAATAGTATTTTGGTCTTCTTACCTCAAATAGGACTTAATGAAATAGTCAAAAAGAATATGAGTTGGATGGAATAAAGCTCTTAGAAAAAGGATTTATCAAAAAAGTTCCCTAAAAATATTTACCCTAAAAAAATCAAATTAAGAAAACTTTTAGATATTTTAAAAAAATAAACCCAAAAAATTTCAAAATATAACTCAAAACTTAAAAATTCAAAA